AACCAAGCGGCAAGTGCCACTAACTACTTCGGCCCTGCAACGTAGGCCCAGCTAGGCTCCCGGGCAGCTCGTCCATGTCCAGGCGCCTCACAGTGTCGCTCTCCTGGCACTTTCGGGTTTAGGCTTTTAAGGCTTTGGGGCACATTACTATGAGGGGAGCCACGCAAAACGAAATGGACGTCGAGATGAGAGTTTCTGGCAGCAGATCCTCTGGAGATCAATGCGCATGCAACATCCATTATCATCGTAGCTACGCAGCTGTATCACCTAACTAACACACACACACACACACACAGCTCCCACCACAGGCCCGCCTCGATGGATACTTCCGCGAAGCCCGTGCGCATCAAGTGTTCTGGGTGCGAGCAGGTGCGGGAAAGGGCCCAGTAGCCAAGGGGTAGTCTCCTATTGAGCTTCAACATACTCAAATCTCAGTACAGGGCAATGGTCTACAAGTATGAGGAACTAGATTTAGATGGTCATTTATGTCGCAACGGCCAGCTCGTGAGACCACATGCGGGATTCCAACGGTTATTCAGCGGCCGCTAGCATCGACAATCGCAGAGGGCAGCAGCATGCTTTGCCGACGCAGTGCTGCCGGTAGTTGACAGGATCAGCACGTATGCCTACATATCAGCTCTTGAAACCCAAGAGTGCAGCCTGCAACCGAGCATTACGTGCTCAAGCAAAGCACCTTCTGTCAGGCACCCATGAGTCCTTGACCAACCCTCCTCACATCATGTAACCCCAAACAACCCCGAAAGCCCGAGCACCATTTCATGTCCCAGCTGCTCAGGTAGTAGTTCTGACGGAAGCCACGACGGCGATTTCCCATAAAGGCACGAGCAAAGGTGCCTCAGGGACACCCATCTTGGGAGCTGAAACAGGAATTCGGATAGAGTTTTGGAGTATGTTATAGTTCAGACAAAAAGGGCCTATCGGGAGATATCGGGAAGACTCTATTGGTAATTATCCGGCCGCTTTGTTAAGGAGATTATTTTGCTTTTGCACCGGAACTTTGAACGTGGTCGTTCAGTAGACCACTTCCGACGATTTGGATTTGGGACAGAAACCACAACAGAAAGTCTACTACATTCCATTTTTCACATGCTTGAAGATGACATAGACATGTACGTCTATGTGATATAAATAAAACAAGTGTATATATATATATATATATATATATTTATTTATTTATTTATATTTATATACCTAGCTACCTATCCACCTATCTACGTATCCACCTCTGCCCCCACCTACCGACCTACCTACCTACCTACCTACCTACCTACCTACCTACCTACCTACCCACCGACCTGGCTAGCCATACATACATACATACATACATACATACATACATACATACATACATACACACAGTGTACCTATGGCTCTGTCTCTCTCACCTCTGAAACTGTTTTTGGCTGAAGACAACCGACTTGAGCTCTGCTTGCCGACGCGCCGCTCACCGAGCTCCCGAAAGGATCCTCGGGGTAGAAGACCCGTTCCCTGCCAGACGGGCCAAGCAGAACAAAGGCTGCGCGAGGAGTTGGATGATGCAAATGCCCAAGTTGATTAGAACAAAGCTTCGGAGTTCACACCATATGGGATGCGATCACCCCAAAATTGCCTGAAGCCCCCAGTCCCCACTCACCCAAAGTATTGAGCCCTGAACTTCTTGAGATGTCCTACACTCCCGCCGGGCCTGCTCGCCTCATCCATATTCCACAGCGGCGTGCAACTGAGAGGCAGTTGGTCTGAGAAGCTCTGAGTTTCGGGACTTGGATGCTACGCGCCGAAGCCGAGACCACCTGCCGCAGAGCGGGATGACTCGGACACCACGTAACATCCGGGAGCCCCTTCTCCTCAAGAGCCCCGAAAAAGAAAGCCCTGAGTCCTCTGGGGATCAGGTAGGCCTCGCGCACTTTTCTTCTAAGCTTCACACTCGCCCTTCGTCTTGTAGTAGGTGTAGTAGAAGCTGTCAGCGGCCGGGAGCTGGCGAGCGTGGGCAAGCTTGGACCGCAGAAGCCACAAGGGCTGAGGGTGCTAGGATTCAGAAAAACGGCCCACTGAGGCACCGGAGTGCGAAGACGTTGTGTGGAGACCTATATGCGCCTTGCGGTCAGCTCTCGAGCGCAAGGGCAATGGCCACACGGCCAGCGCCCTAATTCAACTTTCCTGATGCCGCTGCCACAGAGTCACCCAAACCGATCTGCAACATCGACGCGGTGCGCTTTAACCGGCACGACAACCCATGCATGGCACCAGGATGGAGGATGACGTCACGCAGGCGGTCCTGGAAGTGCATCAGAGAAACTTGACTTATCCCGCTTCCAGCAATATGCTGTATAGCCCTTCTCCTACCATGACAGAGCGATGCAGCATGCCCCGGCAGTCCTCAAGTAGCAGCCCGTGTGGTCATGGTACTGGAAGGAGTTGCACAACCTTCTGCAGCTGTCTTGCTACCACTGCGCCTCGACGACGACGACGACGACGACCACCACCACGACTACTATAGCGCGACCAGTACTAGCCTGACTCTTGCTGCTACGACCGTTTGTGTCCGTCGGTGATCAAAGACCGTCCAATCACGCCACAGAAGCACGAGACCCTGGGCCCTGAAGCAGAGAACAGCATAAAGCTCTGATGAAGTCCTGGCCCCGGCACGGGTCTTCTGCGCACTTGGCCTTGCAGAAAGTCACCGAACCTGGTGTAAGGGGTTGGAATGAGGTCCAGGCTGTCCAAGAACGGGATCGGCTAATGTGGAAGCTGATCATTCGCAAGCACCCTGCTTGATTTGGGAAGGCTTGGTATCCATCGCCATTCGAGTCTACAGCTCCCAACAAAGAAATCATGGACACTTTTGGCCTTTAGGGCTTAGCTCAGTCGCTCCCCCATTCGGCCAGGAAGCGATGACCGTTGAAGGAGCCAACCTGTGCACAGATCACGGCACGAGACTTGAAGGTGGTATAACCAGAGAGTCAGGATGCATGAAAATCCTTGAAAGACGTCAAACTCCACCCTCAACTTCAGGCCTCTAAGACTCTAAGCCCCGTGCCTGGGCGCCCGCATAGTTGAGCCGGCCCCGCACCACCGCAAACCCATCGGTGGCGGCCCTGCGTGAGGTGATGGCGGCGTACAGGCCCGTGACCGTGTCGACAGGCCTTGGTACAGCTGGGCATTTTGGAGTGTGGTGGGGTATGGGAGTCTCCGAAAATAAGGGTACCCTATTTTGGGGTCCTTATAATAAGGATCCTACTATTTAGGGTACTATATTGGGGTCCCCTATTTTCGGAAACCCCCGTATGGGGCAAAAATAGCCGTTGCGGGGCATGCACAGGTATCAGGCCGTTCAGCGGATGTACACTATGGGCGAAACAGCTTGTTCTCGGGGCGCCAGGCTCAACGAGCCCATGGCTCAGTGGAACACCTTGACAAAGATAAAGGCTTGAAAACATAAGCCTGGAGATCCGTTGAGTCTTCTGAGAATTCCGGCATCCATCCCCTCAATGCCCTCATCGGCTTGCTTTCTGAGGCGGATCAGGTGCCGGCTAGCAAAGGTGTGTTGGGACCGCCAGCTGCGTGACATGAAAAAAACACTCGAACAAAATAAGACAAATCTGCATGACCAATGATTCCGCTACTTCGAACAGAAGGTAAATTTGCACGGATGTCGGATGGCGTCGGGTCTACCAGTCTTCTAAAGGCTCACACTGCTAAAACCTTAACGTTCGAAGCCCTGAAATCCCAACAACGACTGGCATCACTTCTGTCGCTTACAGCCCGAACAGCAATAGAATCATGAATGGTTTCTGGGCACAGACGGCGAAGCCAAAGAATAGGAGCTTAAGTAAGCTTTGGTGCCGCTCCTTGCTTGGGACCGAAATTAAGCTCGGCGCACTAGGGTGTGGTCCTGCGCCTCGGTGTGCTTCTTGCAGACCTCCGGGGCAAAGTCTCACAGCTTCTGGAGTGTCTTCCTGCCCCTCAGAGCAGACAGTAGCTGCGCAGTCCTGGGCCTTTGTGGCAAGGATCCTCCTAGAGTCCTAGAGGAAGGGAGAGACAGGGACAGGGAGAGCACCGAAGGCAACTCCAAACCTTGAAGCCTCGGCTCCTCGGACTCGGGAGCCCTCTGCTGAACCGCAGTGGAAGCGTAACGACCCGAAAAAACTACAAATCAACTCACGACCCAAGCCTTCGTCTCCTTCTCATAGGATGCAGCCATACAGTCCTGCTGGACACCATGCAAAGAAAGAGCATGCGATTGGAAACCACATGCTTGGGCGGGACAATCAAGCCGGAAAATCTCACAAAGAAACAGTACATGCAGCTGGCCACGGCTACAGGACCATGTGCACACTGTTGACTCTTCGCGCGATGTCGCGAACATTGTCCCCGCCTGAATCACGACCTCCATCGCTGTTCCCATGCTCATCAACTTCATACTCATCCCCTGTCCTCCTCCTCGTCCTGAAACTCATCTTTGCCATAGTCGCCCCCCCCTCATGCTGATCCTCATCACCACCATCATCATCAGCGTCATCCTCATTGTGCCAACAGGGACATCTGTGGCACTGAGTCACTCACAAACTGAATACCAGAGTCAATCTACAGGGATGACATGGCTGACGATGCCATATCATATGACGGTAACGGTCAGTAACGCTACTCCATGCGTACCACGTACGCAATGGAGGGAGACTCAGCAGAGAGGATCTCGGCAAGCACTCGGTCTCGTGGTTATAGCGGTCGTCGTTCTGCAGCAGCCGTCACATCATCAAGAGCAGAAGCTGCAATAGCACGAGCAGCAGTCGTCGTGGTCTTCGTAGTAGGAACTAGTAGTAGTTCAGTAGTAGTAGCAGCAGCAGTAGGAAGCAGTTGTCGCTGCTGCAGCCAAGCAGTAGTACCACGTCGTAGCACTGGTGGCAACAGGCACATCAGTCGCGGTAGCACCATCAGTACTCGTGGTAGGAGGGAGAGCAGCCGCAGTAGCTCTTCCGTCTCTAACTGTGACTGCAACTTCTGTTGCTGCTACGCTTGACGCATGCAGTCTGAACCAAGCTGACTGAGTCCTGATCTTGGCAGCAACGCTGCTGACATTCCTCCCAAGTGTCGTAGAGCTGGTAAAGGTCCAGGATATCGTTGTTGGTCACCCCTCGAGAAGCTGGGCAGGACAAGCTTTCTGTGCGAGCACTACGACAGGCTGTCGCACCGAAGACCCTGAAATGAAAACGTGTGCATTTCAGTTCGATACCTTGTGAATACATCTCACCTGCGGGAATCTGCCAATCAGGGGCTGGCCTGACTGGGTGGGCTCGAACTGGCAGCCCATGGAATCTCCGCACATGGTGTCGTTGAAGGCACCGATGGTGCAGGGGAACGGCATGGGTGCCTCCCATGCTGCAAAATGCATCGTATCGCTTGGTGGCTAGGCCCGGCTAGGCTCTACGCATCTGAACCCTGAGCGATCAGAAACGCTCGGAGACCTCGCTGCGACAAGGAGTAGGGTAGCCCTCAAAGCCCTCGAAATCCCAAGCTCCCAGAATCACCAACGGCAGCTTCCGGAATCCCTCCTCGGGATCTGCCAAGTCCGTATCCTCCGAGACATTCCCCGCGCTCGCATCGCTGAGCCTTCCTGGGTGGGAGGGCTTGGAGAGCGCTTTGAACGCCGCGACTGCGATGGGGGCCGTGGGGCCTTCGGATTCCGAGTTCTGCCCTGCCGGATCCAGAGAGCGACCTTCTCCCGGACCGGCCGGCTTTTCAAGGCCAAGGCTTCAGATCTCCGGGATACCCACGCAAAGACAAGGGCACTTCCAAAAGCAACCAAGCTTCGAAGGGCCGGCTCCACTCGAGTGGTGTACTGCGCCTCGGGCGGCTTGGGACAGCTCAAGGGCTGGAGGTTGCTGATGCAGGCATGAAAAGTTGGAGCTTGAGGTTGCCGGTGGAGGCAAGCTCCGAAATCCCCGATTTTCAACCAGGAACCCCAAGGCAAGCGCCTCAAGCAGTGGAAGCCCTGAACAAACGCTTTAACGCATCGCACAGTGGCCCGGATCCCGGTGGCCGCCAAGGTGGCCGAGGGCTCCAAAGCTGGAACCTGCCATTTTCCATAATTCAAGCATAATTACTAGCCTTAAATATTAGATAAGACCGTATGTAGTATAACAATGTAATGTAAGATTAACATATTAAATGTAACATTTTAGGTAGTGTCCCGTATATAGCCGACATTATCTGTATCGCGGAGTGTCTCAAAGCTTTAGCACGCTCTCTAAGTTGAGGGCTTAGTGCAGTGGCCAAGGCCAAGATCCTTGTGGGGCGCTCACACTTTACTCCTTTTGGATCCCGTGGGATGGATGGATGAGGTTGGGGTAGAGGCTCTGGCACGCGAATGCATAGAGAGTTGGCGCCAATGCCGGACGCGTCTGAGCTGTCAGAAGGATTCCCGACGGCTAATCCATGGGTTGACAAGAGATCATGTTTAGGACAGCTTGCGGGCCTTCAGGGTTGCTGGATTCTGATGTCAGCTTCCAGCTGCAATGTAAACTCCATTCCGTCTTCCGGGTCCTTGATCCAGACTTCCCTTAGCCCCAAACTTCCCCTAAACTTCCCGGAGCCTGAACGCTAAAGCCGAAAGCTTTGCGAGGCCTCAAAGAGATTGGCGGAGAGGGGCCAAATGAAGAGATCCTCCGCATTCCCGTGCATGATCGTCTGGACCTCAGGCCAGCAGGACGAACAACGGCAAAATGCTCTCGATTAGTAACGGTACTGCTTCTCATGCACGTTCACAACTGCAAGAAACCTGGGAAAAAAAACAGAAAATTGCCGGTGGCTCTCAGTACGCTGGAGGCTACATGGAGCTTCAGAAAGAAGCTTCCGAGCATATCTAGAAGCTCATTGAACCTTAAGATCAGGGGATCCAAAGCTGAACCCCGAAGCCCTAAAAGCTTAAAAGGCTAAAGCCCCACACCTCAAAAACCCTCAACCCTAAACCTGAATCCCCAAGGCAATCACCCGGCCTCGACCCGGCTTCGCATGATGTCGTACCTGGAAAACCCCCGATTACAGGATAGGTACGGCTGCATGCTTCTACCATCTTTTAGGGTGTAGGTTTTTTAAATGCAATGAGCTTAGGGTTTAGGGTTTATACTAAGTTACTAATCAAGTACCACGAAGGGCTTACTTAAGGCCTACTACTGCGGGGTACTAGTTTTAGACAACGGGGTTTAGGGGGCTTAGGTTTATGGGGCTGCTGTTGAAACATCTTCACAGATCGCAGAGTTTCTCGCAAGACGAAGACGGCTATGCCACACCGTGGATCATCATGACGGGACCGAGACCCTTCAGTAACCCCACCGGAATGAGAAAAGGACCTTGCGTTTGCTTTAGGGTCAACTTCGGTCGGACCCGGGGGCACTCGATCAGCAGCTCGGGCAGGTTTCCCAGAGGGCGTAAGAACGTGATCATGTACTCGGTCACGGACTCTTCGCCACCTCAAGAACTTTCGAAGGAAGCTGTAAGCCCTGATAAAGACGACGCCCCCTGCACTGAGCATGCCACTGTTATAGTTGTTCATCCACCACATCTCTGCATGAACCTGGCAGATTGGATGCTGTTCATCACGGCGGCTAGGGCCAGGGTTGTTCAATCTCGCACCTTGTGACAACAGACTTTATGTTGATTGAGGCTTATGAAGTCTCCCAGCTGAGGGCCGGAGGGAAGACCCTGAAGAATTCCGCCGTGTGCCTGTGTCCCACTTGGCATCACCACCGCGTTCAGCGCTTCGACCACCTCAGCATCGGCTGCGACACAGGGAGACAGGGCCACAGGTTCCCCTAAGGTTCAGCTGACCCGACCGATGCTGACGAGAAGACGTGGTCGAAGATTTGCGACAGCATGTCTGAGACGGACGGTCGCGAAATCGTGGCAGGGGTAGCCAGTGCGCAGCCAGTAACATAATCTCATCGTCCTCCCAATGGAAATCGTCTGTGGATGCACGACCAGAGGCTAAGCACGGGACATGAAAATCATTGAAGTTCCAGCCGATCCAATTCGTGTACCTGTGCAAACGAGTGTCAACTGGAACGCGCATCGTGCATGACCAGATTGCAGGCCAGACCTACCCTAAACCCCTGATCCTAAACCCCAAGCCCTGAAAAAAGACAGCTCAAAAGAACCCGAAACCCTAAACCCTAAACTCTACACTCTACAGTCGCGAGTGACACAGAAGCCAGCACCTTAATCTTCACCTTACTCCCGCATGTGCCACGACTGACGGAAGGATGGATGCATGCATGAATGATGGATGCATGCGTGGATGGATGGATGGATGGGTGGATGGATGGACGGACGGACGGACGGATGAATAAATGAATGGGTGAATGGATGAATGGATGCATGGATGGATGAATGGATGAATGGATTAATGGATTAATGGATGAATGGACGAGTGGATGAATGGATAGATCGATAGATCGCTAGATCGACAGATCGTTCCAGAGACAGATAGGGAGGTCCATAGGTACAATGATGGACAGACATATAGGCTACAAGTAGATAGATGGATAGAATAGCGTAGATAGATAGGTAGATAGATAGATGCAGCCAGACAGCCAGACAGCCAGACAGCCAGACAGCCAGACAGCCAGACAGCCAGACAGCCACACAGCCAGACAGCCAGACAGCCAGACAGCCAGACAGCCAGACAGCCAGACAGCCAGACAGCCAGACAGCCAGACAGCCAGACAGCCAGACACGGACAGACACGGATAGACACGGACAGACACAGACAGACACAGACAGACACAGACAGACAGACAAACAGATAGATAGATAAATATGTATCCGTTTGTATGTCTATGCGCACATAATGTGCACACACACACACACAGAGACACATGCGCACGAACATACCCGACCCTAGAAAGAATGGAGACTGCTTGCTGCGGAAGACAACACACATACTTTAACAGCTAACTAAGTCATGCCAGACGACGTGGGCTCATCATCACGAGCTTCGCGCAGGCCAATGCGCCACTGCCCGCCATCCTTTGAGATGATCCTCTTGAGGAGCACCATCCTTAACGCTGCAATCTTTGGGCTCTTGGGTTTTGTTCCGCGCCTTGTTTGCTACCTTTGGTTTTTGAAGGTAGGCTGGGAGCGGACGCCGGCTTATAGTAGAGCGGGCCTTCACCCCTCGACACGCAAGTCGTAAGTCAGGATCTCGGACGTGCACAACCATACTCATACGGAAGGCACACGAGATAAACAAGAAGCAAAGCCGAATTCCTTCGAATATATATATATATATATATACATATATATATATATATATATACAGTATATATATATATACAGTATATACATATAAATATATATATATATATCCCTTCTCAACGCATCCCCAAGTGAGCTCCGGGCTCTGGCCAGCTCTTGCGCTGGGCTAGAAGCTCCTGCGGGCTGGGAGAGTGGCTGGAAGAATTTATTCCGGCCTGCGGTTCGCTGAGCCCTACACCCCCTGCAAGGCTGAAAGCTTGCCCAGTGTTGCACTTCGAAGGTTCCCCTCAAACTACAACCTCGAGGAAGCCTGAATCATCCTGAACTCGGGCTGAGGGGCTTCCCTGGGCGGGTTAAGGGCTTCGGCTTGGGGCTCAAGGGTCTCAGGCTTCAGGCGTGCGATGCGTTGGAGCTTGAGGGCTTTGGGCTTCAGCTCGGAGTTCCTGCTGCGAAGGCGTGAGGCTGCTCAGATCTGGCTTGTGGATGCGCAGGCCGGTGTAGGTGCGGAAGCGACCTAAAAGCTCGAGGGTGGTTCTGAGGCAGGCGTCTCCCTTGCGGTGATCGGCTTATATTGGAGTTGAACTCCCATCAAAAGCAGATGAACTCCCGGAGGGTATACAAGAGACCCTGACATTTGGGAATTCCTGTGATGTGCAGCAAAAATGCCAGCTTTTATCATGTTTGGCGCAATATGCATAAGCACCACAAACTTGTGCATGTTACCCATGCACACTTTTCAGAAGACCCAGAGTAGACGGAATACCCAACATGCTCAAGTTGCTCATAACGGTCCTAAAATCCAAAGTGCTGAGCTGCAAAACCTGAGGAAACTTACCGATTGCCATGAGAACGATGATGACAATGATAGCCATTGAACTATGACTGGTAAGCAGGAACAAACATCCTTCACCTTAGTCGTAGTCGTAGCAGGCTTAGAAATCGAAGTAGAGCTAGAAGTAGAAGTAGAAGAAGAAGTAGAAGTACAAGTAGAAGAAGAAGTCGTCGTCGTCGTCGTGGTGGTGGTGGTGGCAATAGTAGCAGTAGTAGTTTTGGTACTAGTCGTCGTGTAGCAGCAATAGTAGTACCATAGTTGTAGTAGTACCAAGAGCCTTGGGAGTTATAGGCTCGGCAGACAAGGTGCGACGGCGACGAATATCAAAGTTTTTCCGGTAGGATTCGGCCAAAGACGTTCTTTTCACGAAGAAGCGCCGCTCTCCTCCCAAGATCGAGGTCGGCTTCGGGAGTTCGGGATTGGGAGGTTCAGGGTTTAGGGTTTAGGGGTTTAGGGGTTTAGGGTTTAGGGGTTCAGGGTTTGGGGTTTAGGGCTTTAGGGGTTTAGGGTTTTTTTTATCACCTCTTTTCCTTCGCCTGATAAGGAGTTTAGGGGTTTGGAGTTTAGGGTTTAGGGGTTTCTGGTGGCAGCACGTGCTTGATGCGAGCTAAACCCAAGCCACAGCTACACGCAATGTAAGGGCGCCTTGCTTCAGTGGCACTGTCACCTCTGTGGGTGTGCGGAAGCCCAGCGTTGGGTTCCCAGCGAAACCGTGGCTGTCCTGCAGCTTTCTCGACGGGCTCGCCGTTGGGGCTTTTTGAAAATGAGCAGCTTTGTATTTGGGGCACCGGAATGATCTAAGATTGCATGCGCATCTCGTCAACAGTTAAACTAAATTTAAACTTACCACTCAATCTCAAAGTTGATGTTGAAACAACAGCAGCATGCTTTAATTATGACATCTTCGAACGGAGGTTCCTTTTCTGAGAAACGCACTAACTCAATAAGGGCTATTGCAGACTAGCCTCTCGCCTGCACGTGGAGCTTTTGCATGCAACAAGGAATCAAAACCCTGACACCTCAAACCGAACCCGGTCATTGAACCCTTTACGCTTCGCAGGGGCCGGGGTCTGTCCCCGCTCCTTCAGAAAGTCGTGTCTCCCATGCTCTAAACCGAAACTCACCGAAGGCCCAACACACCAACACGCTGAAGTCTTCAAGATCACCGGCTTCAGTGACTGTAGTGCCGGGGACATCCGGAAAACCCTTGGGAGACAGCATGACAGCTAAAGTTGGGGACTGGTGCGAGTTTGGGAACCACCCCTCGTAGTGGGCCCTCCAGAATCACTCCACGGTCAGAGCCTCTTCCAAGCGACGATCGCTTTCGAGTGGCTCTTCCACCGTATCGGATATCGGCACACATGTACTGTCTTTTTTGCAAAAACCTTCATGGCCCTCATCGGGCCATGGACGCCCAGCGAGATCCAGGGCCTTCAAACCCACAACCCCGGAGCGGCAAAATCCGGAACCCAGGGCCTGAACTCCCCGTCCGTCCTTGAGCTCAGTTCCAATGTGTCCCTTGGCTTTCTTGCTTTGAGGTGCTTCGGTTTGGGTGCCAAGGGCCTCGATTTGGGGTGCGGGGTTTAGGGTTTGGGGTTTCGGGGTTTGTGCCTGAGGTGCAGGGTTGCATGTGGCGGCTTGACATCTGGTTCGCGGGAGGCTAGGGCTGGGGTGCACCCTTGCCAGTGTTCTGAAACCGGAAGCCCTGAACCCTGATCTGGGGCTCGAAAACCTTGGAACTGGCTTTCTGTGTATCTTGGTATACTTAGATTCAGACAGGCACAACTGGACGCTATTCTTAATACTCGCTGCCCACCCCTGAAGCATCCTGAAGCATGTTTGTGTTTCGCCTGATTCGTGCAGCCCTTAGCCCCTGTAGGAATGAAAAGGGGGCAATCCATCTTGAGCCAGGGCACGTGCCAGGGAGAGGTGTGGCCTCTCTTGTTGTAGAACATGCTGCACCCAAGGTACCTGTTGCGTCGCCGGGTGTCGCCCGTCCTGCTCAGCTAGACTCGGGCGGTCTTTCCCACTTAGGCTTAGGTTTGCACAGTTTAAGCCAACAATCTGAAAGCAGCAGCTCGGAAACGAAGGACCACTGGTCTTGTCAGGAGGACACCAAGAATCTGGCTGGTCCTGCACGGCTGGCTGTCGATCCGTTCAGCAACCTTGATCGTGTCCGCAGGGTCAGTCGACGTGCTCAGCCAAATATCCTTCCAAGTTCAAAGTCAGCGCACAAGCTTACACACTGTCCAAAGGGGCGCGGAGAGCTACGATGGGATCCCTCAAATCCTGATCCCTGAACCCTGAGCAGTCCTGCCGCACATCTCCCCATGTCAGGAAGGAGTAGTGGCCATCGAACGGAGCGACAAAAAATCCCATGATCTCTTCCACGAAGCCTTGGCTTCAGAACCCAAGCTTTTGTGGCACATTGCTTACACTCGCAGGGCTTCTCCGTTGTCGCGGCCCATGAAACCGCACAAAGTGCGCCATTGCCCTGCACAACATCTCCGAGTTCGGGGGGTGGACCACCAGATCACGTGTCCCCAACCCCCACAAGCCACGGAAGCCGTACTACAAGCAGAGCAAAGGAAGCCACCCAGACTGGAACTAAGAGCTGAGGAGCCATGCTTGCCGGTAGCCTCTGCGGCATTCTTGAAGGGCGCCTTCCAAGGTTGCATGGTTGAGGGGGGTGCCCTTTCGCCAGTGTCTGGTTGTCCGGCACTTTAGCCATTGGATGTTGGGCTCTCGGAGTTTGGATCTTGGCTTTGCGATGTTTTCTCGAGAGTTCTGGGTTCCGAGATTTGGCAGGGAGCTCGGGCAGAAATGGTCTGCACGATTTCTGTTCGTTGAAGATCTTATTCGATGGCTGAAAATTCCGGGACTTGGTTCTAGGCGTGGGCTGGTAGGCCACCGTCACGACATGGACTGTTTTGGGGGTTCCTTATTTTCGGTATAGTATAACGCGTCCACAAAACGCTATTCCAAATATTAAGGCCCCCCATACCCTTGACGTTCCGTTTCAGAGAGACTCACTTCCGCCCCGTCCTCGGGATCCACCGCCTTCATGTCGGCAGGGTCCGCATAACGCACGTCCTCCATTCCTCATTCGGCTTTTGCGCGATGCCAGGCCAGAAGGGCCCTCTGCTATAGGGGCCTTCCTAGCTAGAAGAGGGTTTTTGGGGAATGTTCCACCATAGATATACACGGGAACCGTAAGGGATTATATTTCTGATTATCCGGTCCCCTATGGTGTTGAGAACCCACAGCAGGCAGAGGAGCATCACGGACGCCAAAGACGCATCTACATCCGTCTACATCCTGCGGTCAACCCGTTGAACTTGTTAAGCTGGCTTCGAAAGTAGAGCAGTAGTGGAAAATAAATAAAGCCCATGAACATCTCAATACTTGGATCTGGACATATGAGCACCGCAAATCCCCGCAACCGGGAACGCCTCGAGGTGGGAAAGCTGGTCAACCGAAAAGGGGCATCCAAGATTTCTGCGAGTCTGACGACCCGTGTGGATTCTTCGGCATCAATCATATCCCTATATGTAGTGAGTTGCATCAACAGTAAATACACCAACCTATTCGCTATTATTTAGTTCTTCCATCGTGACCTTCTGCCAAGAGGCCGAAGGGACCCCTCACGACGTCTGTGCGGATCGTTTCCATCATCGGACGCCTCGGTACAGCATGTGTTTCGGGTTCTCTGGAGTAGTTCGGGACCGGAGCTGGAATGTCTCCTTTCTGGAGGGTCGAGAGCTAGGTACATCGACTGCTCCGAAGCTTTGGGCTCGCACTCTGCATTGGCTACAGCCTGCTGCGGGTTTCCGCACTGCAGGATGCTCAGAACGTGCATCAACAGGCGGCCTCTGCGGTTCGCAACTGTTGCCTTACCAGTACACAAGCTCCCGCATCTGCTGGCCGAGTGGCTGTGCTCGGTACTCCGGATTCAAGCTCGCTTGCAAGGCTTGCCCGAAGTGACTCAGTCAGCATGCAACGTGAACTTCAAGGACAAGCCGCAGCAGAGCAGGGGCAGGCTTGACTTGAAAGAACCGCTGCCGAGACGCTCGAAAGTATTGCAGTCCGTGTTGAAGCTGCTGCCGAGCGGACACATGTTCCACACCTTCGGAGGCTGACGGATGAAACTCGTACACAGCCCTCCACGGTCCACACCACATCATCTCCCACACAAATCACAGCTGCAGCTCTGGTGAAGACAGAAACTACAGAACGAGTAGCTTTGCCGCCGAGAGGCTCGTGCAAGCACTCCGCGGCCTGCTCGGCTCAGGACTGTGTCAGGAAAGCACTCCAGCTCGAGGCCCGCTGCTTTCTACAGTCTCTACCAATAGAAGTCATGGTTCAAACCGGGAGGGGTCCCACATCAAGGCCACCTGCACAAGGTTGGAAGTGTGTAAGCCGTACGGATCCGGGCCTCCGGGGTAGAGACCACTTGGAGGCGGCGAGTGCGGCGTGGCCCTGGCCGGTTTGGAGGCTCTCGGCTTGGGGCTTAAGTGCCTGGCTTGATGTGGGATTCCGAGTTCATCCGCAAAGAGAATTTTCAGAGACAAAGAGTCGGAAGCTAAACGGGTCGTGCACTGAGGCTCGCGGCCTCTGCACTCCCAACCTGCCGGGGTGTCCTGCCTTGTGAGCTCGAACACGACCCAATAGCGACCACGGTGGTCGTCCACCTGCATTTCACTCGTCAGAGCACGCCATTCGCGCACTTCGCGAGCTGCAAACTCACACAACGAGCATTGTCGGGTGCTGACATGGAGCAACACCGGTATCTGGCAACAAGGGGTCACTGAGTTCGTGACCTCCGGCTCACCTGAGTGGGAAGCCACTCATGGACAAATTCAACAGACACATCCAATGGATGTATAATACTCTAGTAACTATAGTTTTATATCATATTATATATTTATGCAGTAAGTATATCATACTGTGTTGCACTCGGCCTGCCCCATCTCCTCCAAAACATCATACTTAGGACTACAAACAGATACGAGATAACACAAAAGGATACAACATAGTCATATATGGTCTGATATTGCTTTGCACTACAGAACATAACATAGTGTTCCTCACTCCACGACTGGAGGGAATCCTGGCTGAGGAGGAACACCGAAACCCTCAGCCGCAACCCTGAGGCTTAGGGTTTAGGATTTTTTGTTGTTGACACCTTTTTCCGTCTGCATTGTTCGTGCGTCAGGAGAGCCCACCACGGGGCAGGCAGTCTTAAACCCCTCTCAGTCGCATGTCATTCGTGGCCATTCGGTCGCTCATCCCTGGTTCCCTCGTCATCGCTTCCCTCACCACCATCATCGGATCGTTGACGTTTGATCCCTCGCTCGGTCTCATCCCCCACCACCAGGGTTTTGAGGTTAAGGCTTAGGGCTGAGGGTTTAGGGAGAATGGGTTTAGGTTTAGGGTTTAGGGTTTACCCCAGCTCGAGGGGGCTCTCAGCCCATTTTCTCCTCTGCACGTGTTGAAGGTCTATGATGCGCACGGCCCATTTTCTCCCAACTACCCTGCCGGGCTCAGCGCTCAACTCAACCTTAAGGCCCTCAACCTCTATGATCCGGTCCCTGTATCACTGCTTAGGGCCCATGTGGGACGGTTTAGATGGATCGAGGCGCAGTTGTCGAAGCCCTCCGGCTTCGTCTCCGGAACGTCGCCCACATTGTTGTTGAATGTAACCTCTCTCCACGCGGTCCACAGGGGCCCTTCTAGAGCTCAGGGCCAGGGTTGGGGGTTTGGGGTTCTTTTGGCGGACTCTTTTCTGCCTTCTTGCGCAGCTTTTTCAGCGCAAATCAGCGCAGGGTTCAGGGATGTTCAGGGTGTTACGGGGCATGGTCTAGGCTCTTGTAACCTCAACCCCCTGTTTTTCAAGAGGGTCTCCTCTTCTCAGTGCCACTGAGCCCTGCAGCCGAGCAGCACATCGGACCTCGTGAGTCCAGCTGGCTTCGTAGAGGAGCCCGAAGTAGGTACAGTTGCCCCCAGGACCATCTGGCCAGGCGAGAATTCAAAGAGTCAGAGGCAAGAGGGGAAGGGGCTTCGTGAGAGGGTTCGCGATGCTTCGCGGCTTCTGAGGCTTGGAGCCGGGCTTAAGTTTAGCAGAGACGCTGGTGCGCAGGGAGGAGCAGTGGTCAGCACATTGCTGGACGTTGGCTCCTTAGCGCAGCAGCGGCGCAGCAATCACAAGCAGGCAAGAGCAGCTGCAGCAGAAGCGACAGCAACAACAACAACCACCACCACTACCACAGCAACAACCACTACCACAGCAAGGACGACGACAACTGCGGCAAGAGTCAAAGGACAAAACTTAGAAAAGCAGAAGAAGAGGAGAGTCCAGTCAGTAGGGTGGAAACTACAACAGCGACAGCAACAACATGCTCTCAGTCTCACCTTCGCCACATTGTTTTGGTCTTGTTCAGGACCCTACAGCCGCGAGGTGCATGCTTCACGAACACAGCTTTGACCACTTGAACAACACAGTATGGTCCTGATGGCACGCACAGGGGCCTCGATGATCAGAGCATAGCGTGCTAGTGTAGGGGCCTAATAATTAGAACAAGGTTTTGGGGTACACTATACTCGACTTATAATAAGGAACCCCAAATAGTATAGGTGATTACTATAAGGCCCCACAAATTGGCATAGCTACCAAAATCTTCCCAAGAGCCGAAGCCGGGATCCCACCGAGCCGGAGCCGCCAAGCTGCCCGTCATGCGCCAGGAGTTGATGGTACTCGTGGTGTAGAAGACCTGACCTCTCGGAAACTCAGGGTATCTCTTTCCGATCCACAAAACTACTAGTACCAATATCAACCCATGTTCTGGAAGATAGTAAGTTGCATTTCACGTGAGGTAAGAGCGTCCCTCAGGTAGTCGACCTCGAACATGACGCACGAGCCTAGTAAACCCATCCTCGACTTCCGGCGCAACATGGCGCATCATGTTGGTGAAACAGGCTCCAATTCAAGAGTAGATGCTGTCGCAAAGCCGAGTGACCCTTGCAAAGACAAGGAACCGCCGATTCTGCCCAACTCTACCGAAAGAGACCCCGTCGCCCTGCGCGCGAGCTTTATCACACCACTCTCACTTGATAACCCCAGCATCCCGCTGTGCTTCCCTCGATGCCTTTGCATCTCCTGCCATCCGACATCAGGAGCTTCCAGTTCGGACCTCGGTGCGTGTTTGGAGGTGTATGGCAACGTTTAGTGTAGGGTGACAAGGGCACCGACAGAAGGCTTGCAAAGATTCGATGCTGCACAGAGCATCTTGCAGTAATTGCCGAGGCTTTAGAAGGTGTCCAACGACTGTACAGAGCTCGAAGGACTTCCGGGGGTTCTTCTGCAACCGAGACATCTTCCACGGATCTGAGCCAGCCGGGACTTATGGCACGGAACCAGAGCCCCAGCTCCACCCACGATTTACCGTAGCAACGGCAGCAGCGAGATCCTCCCCGCCAGCATCAGCCCCTCACCAATCAGGACTCATCCTAGCATGGCGACTCTTCGAAAACAGATATCCCACTCTCGGATTCTCATTCATTGCGGCGCCTCCGGAAACCCATCCGAATCTGGGCATGGCCGACATGCGCGCCTGCCTGGGCAAACCCCCAAATCCAAACAGCCCTGAAACATCAACACCCTTATCTTCACCACGACACCGAGTAATCCAAAAACAAAAACACCACACCCTCCGCAAAAGGCACCGAAAACAGCCGAGAGGGCCTAAATCCCGAGGCCCTGGACCGCCTTTCACGCGGTCTTTCAGGTACTCCTGCATGTCCGTGTTCAAGCGGTAGATTCCTGGCGTCGGGCGCAAAGGATGTGAAATCAGAGGGCTCGAGGCACCCTATGGCTGTGGAGTTTGGGACGTACAGGTTGGGATTTACCTTTACATCAGAAAGGAATCCCGAAGCTTGGGACCCGCCGGAAAGTTCTACTGACTCTACTGTGCCGTGCCAACTTCGGGCGTCGGTAGTCCATGGGCTTTGCGGCACCTTTGCTGCAATCTATCAGGGTCTGTCGGGCTTCGGGGGATTATATAAACATCGCGAAAGGGATGGAGCATACTCGTCCGATGACCCGAAATCGAAGGCCTCCCTCCGCCTTGGCCGACCAGGCGCGGCGCCGGGAGTCCTGGGTGCCGAGCCTCGGAATCCCGAACTGCCCGCCCTCCTTCCGAAGTTTGACGGCTTGAGGGGTCTAGGGCTTAGGGCTTAGATTAGATCTAGGGTTTCGGGAGGCTTCGAAAGCTAACAGCCCGCAACAGCACTGCCTGAGGTGGTACCGGTGAAAGTTTGGTGGCAGGCACCTGCGAAGAGAAGCGATAACCGATAATCCCGCTGCAGCCAGGCGACACATCTGTGCCCTCTGCATTGTGGTTGAAGCACCATATGCAACTCCGCCACTCTCGACGAAACTCGAAGAATTTGCAGTTCATCCAGAAGCAGTTGTTCGCACACTCCTGCAAAGTGTCATGACCGCTTTCTACCCAAATCTGCTTGCTATCCTGAACTCACTGAGACCCATGAACAGATCCAACGGATAGAAATTGGAATAGCTCCAAGCCTACTCTAATGCAGAAGTGCAGGAACTGCATCTTCAAACATCAAACCCTAAAACTTTATGTTGGTTTGAGAACCCCAACGCGTAGGTCTTGCCTCGAGGCTGCTGGTGGCGCCGAGGCTGTAGCGGTCTGACCATGGGCAAATCCTCTTCTCGTGTATCAGCCTCACAGCGTTTAGAATTTGGGGTTTTGGGTTCAGAATTGAAGGTTCCGGGAGTGTCTGGGGGATTTGTGGCCGTCGACTACACCGGTTGAACAGGGTGCCCTCCGTGCGCTCCCAGGGTCACGGAGTGCGATCAAGCAATAGCCAGACTCACCGCAGGAAGTTGGAGGAATAGTTTTAGGGAGTGGTGTTTAGGATTTAGCGTGTAGGAGTTTCAGGCTCACCTCAAAACTGTGCAGCACCTACAGGACCTTTTTTCAGAATCGAAATCGTGGATCCAGTTGAAGGGCCAGGCAACTTTGCACCCAAGGCCGAGGTGTCCTGTAGGGCCTTGCCTCCTCCGAAACGTCAACTTCGAGACACATTGCACTGGAGCTAGACAGACGATGGAAATCCCAGTGCCCGAGTAGTACTTCCGTAATTCCAATCCTTGATCCCCATTGACCCAGACTAGGGCATCCCACTGCACCAGGTGAGTTTGGCCGTGCAGAAGTCTCATGAGGACACATCTACTGCTATTAAACTGGACGAAGAATTTACACAAGCCGCTACTTGTGTGCCGCGAATTCGTGTAATATGTGAAACGGCTGCCAGACGCAGCTGTCCAGATTGTCCCATGATCCGATCCGAGTCTCGGAGCCTTGCACGCGGCCATGCCATGCTGGAATCAAGCATTAGCAGGCTGCTTATTTTCGTGAACACAGAACCCGAGTCCAGACAGACTCGCACCGAGAGTTCAAGTGGATGTCGCGCGAAAAAGCGCGCACCACACCCACAGTCACACACGTCAGTGTAACGCGTGTGACTGTGGGTGTGGTGCGCTTTTTCGCTCCGCGATTCCATGGCCAAAACCATAGCTCTACTCCATGCCATGAACTTCCACTGCAGCGTGGAAGGCACCAGTCCCACATGGGCGCAGGACTTCGTTGAAGATCTTAAACGGTGCAGTGCGCGTGCAGTCGTACACGTGCACAACGACCGGCGACCCCGCAGCAGAAGTAGGGCAAAGATTGCCCATATTCTACGACTCAGAGACTTCAGCGTTGCGGCCGATGGCTTTGGGCACCAATGGCTTGAGCAATGGGGTTTACGGATTTCGGACCTGGAGAACTTCAAAACTCAACCTAGAAAGCATGGATCCCCAGGCAACTCTGCAGCTGGCAGCAGCCCCCTTGGAATCATATTCCGGACTATTCAGGCGCTGGTACTATGTTTGAGGTCCATCAGTTCCTGTGGCATGCGCTGGTCCTCTCACTGCTCTGTCACTGTCCCGCGGCAAATTTCTGGCTGACGGACTGATAGGAGCTCGCAGGGCACTAACGTCTACAGTGTCGTGCGCAGCTCACGAGCTGTGTTCCACAGGACTATGCAGGACTGTCAGAAACCCAAGCTACTGAGATTGGCGGGGCCAAAGCACGGGTCGGCCGCACTTGTCCACGAACTGAATGCTCTGGGCCGAATGCTGCCAGGCAGCTCCACAAAGGGCATGATATCCCAGGCGCGGGTGACTTCACGGGAGGGTGTACCGATTTCGAAGGTCCTCGGCACAGGTCGGAACCACAAAGGGCATCTATTGCACAGCTCCTTCGATGTTATGCCTTGCGGGCAAGAAGGGCACACACACACACACACACACGGACCTGCCAAGGCGTAAGCTGCACAAAAGCTGAACTCCAGAAAATGGCCTCCATGCATGCGAATGACAGTGGACTCCGGAGTCTGGCCCGGCTTTGTTACACAGGCCTGGTGATGTATCGACGCTCATTATTGGGACTTATTCGGAAGCTACCTTGGCAGCTGGTCTACCACGAAGCTTTCTTCTAGCCCTCTCGGACCTTCCCTCAAGCCCTACAGCCGACTATCCTGAATTCCCCAAATCCGACAGAACCTCGTTCCCTATTTGAGAGTTTCGGACAATGAGGACCCAAAGGCAGAACCTTCAAATCCCGAGAATAGGGTCCCTTTTTAGGTCCCTTATCTATTATGTATATGTAAATATACATATATCTACATACATATATATATATATACATATTCATATTCATATTTATATTTATATTCATATTTATTTATGTATGTATATATATATATATAAACAGACCGTACGGCACCCTGATAAAAAGAACCCCAAAAAGGACCCTGATTTGGAGAACTGCCCATATCTCTGACAGGCGGCCCCGGGCCGGGTCCGATCCGCTCAGCCCGCATCCAGGCCTGGGTTCCAAAAAAAGTTTAGGATTTAGGGTTTAGGGTTTAGGGTTTAGGGTTTGGGGTTTGGGGTTTGGGGTTTAGGGTTTGGGGTTTGGGGTTCGGGGTTCGGGGTTCAGGGTTTAGGGCTTGGGGTTTGGGGTATACGGTGGGTTTATCTTTTGAACCCCTCTGTCCACCTCATACTGCACCCAGGGTTTAGGGCTTAAATGCGGCCAGTCGTCAAAAGCAGCACTACTTAACATTCCGGTTCACTTCCACGGCAACTCATGACTGCTAGGGTTTAGGGCTTACGGTGTTAGCATATATGGTTTATGCTCATGCTCTAGTGTAAGTTGTTGAAAGGTTTACAAGCTTTGGATTCATAACTACATATACATATGTACATATCTCTATATACATACATATACACTTAGAGGCATGCACAATTTGTGTGCTATTGGCTATTGGTGTCGCTTCTGTTTCTTCTGTGGACAAGGCTCCCGCTTTCGGGGGAGTCCCCTAACCCCGAAACCCTACACCCTAACCCCTAAACCCTAGCCCCTAAACCCCTAAACCCCTACCCGAAAAACTGCAGCTCAGCGGCCGTAGCCCAGCTTCCCGGAGCCAAACGCCTTCCAGAGCTTGGGGATTGAATGTTCAAGGATCTACTCTTTCTCATGGCCGCTCGCTTGATTTGTGGTTACTCTGATTGATATCGACTGACTTTTACGAAGTGCTGCTCACAAGGAATCAAGAATTAAACCTGTCTGGGTCTAGGATTCGGGGCTTGGGGTTGAAAACGCGAGAGTTACCGCCGAAGGGTCCCGGAAGTAGGGCTTCCTTGTGAGGTGTTGCTGGATCCGGCGTTTGTCATCAATTCCCTTTTGTTTGCCGGGCCCTAGATTCGACTTTCAGATTTCAGGTGGGGTGGATGAGGTCGACGACGGCTCAAGCACCAATGAAAGTAAGCAAATATCGTTCACCAGTGCATGAACTAATGAGTGTGCAATTAGAAGCACAAGGCTGCAACCAGCAGCCAAGAGTCAAAAGAGTTCTCAATGGCAGATGTGACAAATTAAGCCACGACGTCCCACCGAAGAATCAATAAGGCTTTTTTTGGGGGGTTTCCGAAAATAGGGGACCCTAATATAGTACCCTACATAATAGGATCCTTATTATAAGGACCCCAAAATAAGGTACCCCTAGTTTGCGGAAACTCCCATATAAACCCCGAGAACACAAAACCTGACACTTTGCAAGGAGCCTCGGCCAGAGTGGCGAGCGATCAGAGAGGGGAGCAGGGATACAGGTGATCACCTGGCATGCAAGCTATCTGACAGAGATTCTGGTTGCAGATTTGATGGATTTAGGCGAAAGAACGGTCAAGGCAAACGGTCTTGGAGTGAAGTTCAAGGCTTGCGAGACCGCGAAAACCCAAAGCGCCGCCCCCCGGTCATACGCGGCTTGAATGATCCACCAGGCTTTCCAGGAGTTCTGATACAATGACGTCTGTTGGCAGTATCACTGTTCTGGCACTGTTGCTGTAATAGCTCCGATAATGACTCCAGAGGTGCTGTTGCTGCTGTTGTTGTTGTTGCTGCCGCTGTGGCTGCTGCTGCTGGTCCAGTTGTTGCTGGGGAGGAGGAGGAGGAGGAGGATGTGAGGAGGAGGATGTGGCTGCTGCCCATGCAGTGATGACATCTTTATCCGATCCTGGCAATTGTCTGCGAATCGTGTTTGCCGCTTTCGCTCTGTAATTGCTAATCTGGCAGGTCTATGCCCATGCTGTCTGAGGAAGTAGACCGTCCGAATGAAAGCTCAGTGCTGGCAGGATACCGATGGTGTGAGGTCCTTGTGCTCTCCCAGCCTGAATCGCAACCTCACCCGACATACCCTGCACCTGTCAAAGCCAATATTCCCTACTCCAATCTCCCTAAACCCTGTACTGAAAATCCAGATATCCCGCCAATCCCCAAATCTCCAAACCACGGCTACGAGCACCAACCGTCATACCGGAGGCTCACCTGGTTGTTGTTTTTCCGGACCATGTCCTTGCAGCGAATCTCTCATGCAATGCGTGACCATGGTATGTATGTATGGTATGTATGTATGGTATGGAATGTAGGGTATGGTATGGTATGGTATGGTATGGTATGGTATGGTATGGTATGGTGTGGTATGGTATGGTATGGTATGGTATGGTATGGTATGGTATGTAATGTATGCATGCATGCATGTATGTACCGCATGCATGTATGTACCGCATGCATGTAAGCTTGTACGTATATTTTTGCATGTATGTATGTGTGTACGTAACGGTATGTGAGATTATGTATGTGAGCGTATGCGAGTGTATGTGCGTATGTGTATGTATGTACGCATGCATTTGCGTGTATGCATGTGTTCACGTGTCTGTGTATGTGTATGTGCATGTATATGTGTATGTGTACCAGAGTAAGCCGTGCAACTGGACGTGTACGTGTACGTGCATGTGCACGTGTATGTGTACTTGTGTGCAGTTTATTTATGCGTGCATGTGTGCATGTGTGTTCTTACTGTATGTGTATGCATGCACGTACATACTTATATATATAGAGAGAGAGAGAGAGTCCATGACATACTTGGTTATCTGTCTCGCCTTCATCTATTAAGTTGCTGCTTGGTTTATGCAACATATCCACGAATGTGTCTTACAGGCATGCACATAAACATCAACATAGAAGAATAAAAAGTATGTCTGCATTGCCACCCATGTGTACATGTCCATCTACATACATGTGTGAACACATAATTGTGCGCACGTGCCTTTGTGACTGTGTATGCCACTGCAGGTGCACCTATACATTTGCATATGCACGCATGCCTGCATGCACGCACGCTCGCACGTATGCGCGTATGTACGCGTGTATGTATGCAATGTCGGTGTGGTTCTTCAGGCTGCGAGATTCTGTTAGGACACGAAACATGGACAGGCTTGCAAGCCTGGCTATTGTATTGATACTAGCCTGTATCTTGATTTTCCTATCTTTGTCCACTGGAGCTCGGTGCCGCACGGAGTTGTATCAGTTTGAACCCGCAGCTATGCACTTGGGCGAAGTCCCCTCATGGTCATAGCATGGTTCTTGCTGATGATGGTGCTCCGATGAGGGTCACTTCGGAAGAAGGCCCTTCTCTCGCTGCTGACCTTTACCTGCTCTTTTGCCGAAGAGGTCAGACCACTCGTTGTTTGCGATAACCTGTCCTGCTCTGGGGTATCCGTATCGGGAACGGTGGATGTGCAATGCACAGCTTTGCCGGGTACGAGTTAGCCGAGTACAGACTCTGCAGCATGGAAACTGAAAAGTGAAAAAGTATTTATGCTTGTATGTACCTCCTTTCCTGCCTGAGTATACAATGCTCGCCGCACTCATGACTTTCGGTTTGTTTGTAGGTGTAACTGGTAGGGCAGTTCCTGGTGCTGCCGCTTGCTCGCAAGTTGAAGCAGGGCAGTCCTGGACAACGCACGGCACGCCGTCCACCAGCACCTGCGAGAGACCCAAAATGAAAAGAAAATCTTGGAGTGTCGCCGCCGGCAGAACAGAAGGCGTTGACCTCGTGGCGCGCTGCGAAGTCGCCCTTACCCACCGAGAGGGCATCGGCCTTCGAAAGACCAGCATTCTACTACACATGTACATGTGAAACGCACGCAGCCCCAACTTCAGATCAACCCAATCCACCGCGGCATCGACATCGCAGCTGCCTCTAGCAGGATGGGTGCGCCACCCAATCGGCCGACCTCGCGGTGGGTGAGCATATATAGTATAGCGAAACATAGTAAATCATAGTAGGTCATAGTAACTCATAGTAGATCATGGTACTTGTCTGTGCTTGTACATCGGATAAACGATGACTGGGAACGAAGCGAACGCACCCCGACTCCTCAACTCCTAATCCTTGGGTCCACACTTGGCGCGTCTTCAACTCGTGCATGGTGGGGAAGACCTGTTGAGAAGCACCGTTGAAGGGGCGTTCGGAGACAGTGGGATTTGATGTGATGAGGTATACACGAGACCATAGTAAATAAGTTCTAACCATCTGCTGCTTGTTGGCGCTATCCGCTCTCATCTAGCAAGAGTCTATGACCATGAACTAGACAGTTGATCATGTTCGAACAGTGTCTTCCTACATAGTTCAGTATATTCTCTCTGCTTATTGTGGGTCAACCACCTTTGATCCCATGTTGGTTTAAAAGATCCACCATGTATGAAGAACAACAGAACTAAGAAATACTCAAATGCCCAACCAAATGGTACTCGTGCTCATAAGATGATCTGCATGACTTCTAGGGTTATGACATCAGTTCTCGACCCTACCTCTCAGGATCGACCTCTGAAGCTGTTTCAGCAGTCATGATGAGGTTATCAGTACACACTCAAATTCACTGTCACGCGGGCAGATGCCATGAGAGGCTACATCGACCCTGTTGAAGACCTTTGTTCTAAAGGGCCCACGACAAGTTCCCATGACACGGGAATTTCAACGTCTGTCACACGTAAGATATGTCAATACGTGTTCCCAGATGACCATGTCATTGTATTACCCTCCCCCCTTACCGAGGAGGACCTGTCATTTTCACAGTTCTGTCGTCGGGTCCCACGGGGGTTTGGGCTTGGCTCCCACAAGTTCCTATCGCCCCGGAGCCCTCAGCGCCGGCAGCCTCGATGGCGTATTCTCGACCTTCGAGGTTGGTGGTGTGGAGGCCCATGACCTGGCTCTGGCTCTGCCCTGCCGAAACCCTGAACGATAAGAAACACTAGTTCTACCAGCCATGACTAGATCTTGGGCTTGATGATAGAAACAACACTGACGAAAGGAGGAATGGCAAGAATGGCAAGAGTGAAACTGAGAAGAATAGTGACAGTCATAAACAAAGGTTAGAACAATGGCTCTAGGATGCTATCAGTGATGAGAATCATTCGGATTCTAGAGCAGCACTGCAGGGGAAGTCCTCGTGCTGCAACGGGCCTCCCAACTATTCCTGCCATAGCCCTCGCCGGTCTTGGCATCTTGGAGGACATAGGTGAAGTTGTAGTATCCTGCTGAAGATAGGGTTTAGGGTTTTAGGGTTTAGAGTTTTAGGGTTTAGGGTTTTAGGGTTTAGGGTTTTAGGGTTTTGGGCTTTTAGGGTTTAGGGTACAGGGTTAAGAGTATAGGGTGTACGACTTGGGGCCGGCCTGGCCCGATTGGCAGAGCCATGCACAGCCATTTTTGCAGCGCATGAGTATTATCTTATAGTAGGGTAAGTGATATTATTCTATAGTATGATATAGTACAATATAGTAAACTATGGTAGCTATAGCCCGAAATCAGCAAGACAGAGACTGAGCAACCTGCATGAATCAAGTCATCCCATGCGGCCGAAAGAAATCCGATAGACATCCTATACAAGGATAACTTTGTACCACAGGGCCGTCCGATAAAGCCTGAAGCCTTGAAGCCCTTAAACCCTGAACCCTGAATCCTATACCCTGAGATTGCAAAAACTTCCTCACGCGATCTGCCATCTAAGTCCTGCAGGAGTTCCTGCGGAGACCTCGCACACCTCGGCGCACAGAAACCCTCAACCCTCAACCCCCCAGGCCCTAACCCTAAACCCTAAACCGACCCTGAACTCGTATTTTTAGAACTATCAGAATTTCTGTGATTATTACTATGACTATTTCTATTATCATCACTATATTACTATGCTATTATCCAAAACCTCAGAAGACCTTAGGGCCTAGGGTAGAAGCTTGATGGGTTCCCTGACACCGCCGCAGGAAAGAGAGGCAGCTCCTGGGGCCGGGCCAGGGGGCTTCTTCCAAGAAGAGTAATAGTGATGAGAATAGCAACAATAATCATGATGATAATACTAATGTTGCTAATAGTAATAGTAACCATAATCCATAATCACTAACAAGAACAGTAGTAACAACAGTGGTAGCAAGGTGACTTCGTGGAAAACACTTCCAGGAATGGAGAAACTCGCGAAAAGAGAAGTGGCTGGGCTCCACGGCTCCATCGAACATAGTGGGCGTCTCGAGGATATCGCAGCGAAACTCCTCCCGGCCACCTCCCAGGCAGCTTGCATTCAATGTTGCAGAGCTCCGACCGACGTGGGAACCTGGAACCCAGCGAAGAGCGGTCCACTGAACGTAGGAGGGAAAAAGTGGCCAAAGTTGAAATCCGGCCCCTACACAGCGACCCAAAAGCCCAAACGCCAAGTGAAGACATCAAAACAGGAGCACGCTTCGTCCTGCTACCAAACGCGACCAGAGGGCCTGACATATGACGTTAACATGGCCCGGCCTTTGTCAGACAGGACCTCCAGTCCACTGCCCAGGTAGGCATGCATGATCTCTGTGGCATTTCGCTTCTCGCCTGCATAATCATAGCGCGGGACGCGGGCCTACAGAGGATTCCAACTTCAAGTAAGGAACACCAGGAGACAGGACGAAATGATGTGCAAGCAGAAGCTAGGAAGCACCGCAACACACTCAGCTGCATCGAAGTCTTCGAAAGTGTGCTTTATGGATTAACAAGCTTCCACAAGCCTTCAGAACAGCATCCCTGCTTCAGGATCGCCTGTGTCTTCAAAGATCTCTTGCATGTTCAATTCCAGCTGCTTGAGCAAGCTTCCCTCCCAAGTCACCTCAGGCACGGTCTTCTGGGTTGGTAGTTGACGAGATCTTCAGGTTTCCGTTGCTGAGACTCCGTGGTGAACCTTGGCTCTGAGAGCCTGATGGCATTCTCCCCAGGTCTGGACAAAATCGAGGGTCCCTGTTCGACGACATGGTCTGCAAGTTGAACTTCGCACCTTGCGCTCCTCAGAACCTCATCACTAGCAGGTAGTTCTGCTTGTTGGTGACATGACGATTGGGATGATGGCGATGCTGATGATTACGAGGAGCAGGAGGAGGAGGAGGAGGAGGAGGCGCGAGCTGAAGCAGGGCGACAACGAAGACCATACTGCTTATGAAATCGTGCAGCCTCCTTCTACAAACATCAAGACGACATCAACATCAACGTCGCCATCACCATCACCTCATCACCATCCACAAACTCATCCTCATCAACGGACGAGACAGATAGCAAAGAACGTGCCTCCCTTACTTGGGCAAAGGACCGCAGGGACGTCAAGTTCACTCAGGCACTGGCATTGTGTATGACTTGGGTAGCTCGAGTTGGAAGGTACGTGACACTCGGTGTCACCCTGCAGCGGGGTGTGCACTTGGATGTCAAGCTATGGAGCTTGTGCCTTTTTTCTCCGGCCTGTCGTAGGTTCGGAACTGATTTGTCCGCAATGTCGCGATGTGACCTCCCAGTGGCTGATGGCTTCCAGAGATGTCAAACTACAGAGCGTTGCCAGAGACAGAAGCTTCTGCATCAGGACTACTGGAAGCAGCGCCGAGCACGGCCTGAAGTATAAACCACTTCCACGTCGTAGCCCTGGTTCCCGCGAACTTGGCGCATGGTGCGACTCATAAATCTGGAGTTGAGGGGTAGTAAATGCCCAGGGCTTAAACAGTGCCTGGACTGACAAGACATATCACACAAAATGCAGAACTCCGCTGCTGCTCCCAACAACTCTACACGATTCAGAACGGCTGATGCACACTGTACTCATCTGATTTCAACGCTACGCGATTTTGGCCTTAGAGTCTGATTATTCAATCTTGCCACTTTGGCGGGACGCCTGTGCAGGAAGTTTTAAGGGCTCCGAGCTGGATAACCACCCTGGGACGAAAAGCTTTACAGTTTCCTGCTGGGCTTTTTGGAGACATGTTTCTAGAACGGTCATCAATTGCTGAGGGATTCAAGTTTCGGAGCTTGGGAAGTGGACTTCGGCTGTTCCTCTCATCTGGATAGCCAACAGCACCATGTGACAATACGAACGCTGTAGCCTCAACAAATTACTTTCGCTGACGATCATACAGACAAGAAGACACGTCTGACAAACGTAAAAAACTGGGTCATGCCGGCCCAAAGCCCCAGTCTGCTCAACATCCGCAGCAGCTCTGCCACTTGATGCCAAAGGCCGACACCCGTAGCTCAAAAGCTGGCAAAAAAGCTTCCAGACCGTTGCTAGAACAACGCTGGAACCGTGCGACATAAACGAGAGCACAAGTTCGCTTCAAAAAGTGACAAGTGCGAAACAAAATCAGCATCCGTTGGCACATGTTTCTGCAGGCTGCTACGGCGGCGCGTGGGGGTCCGCTGAACCAAATGCAGAAACTGCGGCCGCTCCGAAACTCTGGAAAGCTAATATGTAACTCAAAAGTCTTTTTGCAAGAATCCCCTCCACTTCTTTCCAAGCGAAAGCAGAAGCCGTGCGTCTTCCCTGTGTCTGTTCACGGGAAGTTAGGAAAGCTTTTGGGAGCGCTCCAAGAGCGGTTTCACGGAAGTAAGCCGAACCCTCATCCCCCAACTCCCGAAACCCGATGTTAAGGGTTTAGGGTTTAAGGCACGCCCTGTTTATGATTACGGTTTTCTCGGGCTTGCACGCTGCGGCAGGGCAGGGGAGTACACCGTCATCTCGCCATCCTGGATGACTTCGGCTCAGGGTGTGCGATTTAAGGCAATGGGCCTTCGGTTTCAAGGCGATTTCGGGTGGCAAGAGACTTGAGGATTTGTTGCAGGCTCTGCTGTGATCTTTCAGAGGCTCGGAGGCTCTTACAAAATACCCTGACAGCTTGAAATGCTGCTGGGCTTTTGAGAGAAGAGCTGGCTTTGTATTGTAGCATTGTATCTCATTTTCGTCGCTGCTGCGATGCTTCCAAATGTCATCTTGCAAAAGACTGCAACTGCAACTGTGGCAGGCAAAGCCGTGGAAAAGCAAGACCCGAAACTCGCAAAGCCTGAAAGCCACAGCAAGATACTCCAGGTTCCACACATTCGGAGAGATGGTCTTCTCTTATCTTGACGCTTCATACCTTCATTCCTTCTGGAGAACCACGGCCCCTCCATTTTGAACTATTCTCCAGATCTCGGTCGATAGTCTTTGGCTACCGAGAAGAATGAAACTTTGAGAAGATCAGGTCAGAAGGCCTCGCGGACGGCGACCTCTATGCAGTCTTAGTATAAGTATTGTATGGTATGGTATAGTATAGTATAGCACAATATAATACAATACACTACAGTAAAAGTATGCGATCGTACCGTATACCGTATACACATGATACTTTAAATCTTGCGTACCCCTGCCTTCACCGACGGCTCGAAGATGTGGCACGGCTTCCCCCCGATTAGCACCTGGCAGCTAATTGGTCGCGTTGTTTGAAGTTGAATTTCTGGTAAGCCCTCTCAAGCTTAAACCCTTCAAGCCTTGAACCTCGAACCGTTTAAACCTTTTAAGGCCTGAACCCTTTACACCTCAAACCCTTTAAAACCTGGCGCCTCGCTGACATAGGCGAAACCGGCCCCGGCGATGTGGAGCTCGGTGCCGCCGGCGGTTGAACCCTGCAGCGGCTCGACCTTGAAACATGCACGCATGCATGTGTGAGAGTGTGTGTGCGTGCGTGCGTGAGTGTGTGTGAGTGACTGTGACTGTGACTGTGACTGTGACTGTGACTGTGACTGCGACTGCGACTGCGACTGCGACTGCGACTGCGACTGCGACTGCGACTGCGACTGCGACTGCGACTGCGACTGCGACTGCGACTGCGACTGCGACTGCGAGTGCGAGTGCGACTGC